ATATTAAAGGACCATTTTGTGCAAAGATGGATATGATGAAGGACAAAAATGGTAGGGACCTCACAGAAGCAGAAGACACCAAGAAGAGGTGGCAAGAATACAGTGTGATTGCTGACCTTGAGCCAGACATCCCGGATAGTGAAGTCAAGTGGGCCTTAGAAAGCATGTCTAAAAACAAGACCAGTGGAGGTGATGGCATTCCAATGAAACTATTTAAAATCTTAAAAGATGACACTGTTAAGGTGCTACACTCAATATGCCAGCAAGTTTGGAAAACTCAGCAGTAGCCAGAGAATTGGAAAAGAGCAGTCTACATCCCAATTTCAAAGAAGGGCAGCTCCAAAGAAAATTCCAACTACTATATAACTGCACTCATTTCACACGCTAGCAAGGTTATATTCAAAATCCTAAAAGGTAGGCTTCAGCAGTATGTGGGCTGAGAACTTCAAGAAGTACACGCTGGATTTCAAAGAGGCAGAGGAACTAGAGACCAAATTGCTAACATGCGCTGGATTATGGAGGAAGCCAGAGAGTTCCAGAAAAACATCTACTTCTGCTTCCTTGACTATGCAAAAGCCTTTGACATATGGACCACAACAAACTATGGTAAGTTCTTAAAGAAATGGGAGTGCCTGACCACCTTATCTATCTCCTGAGAAACCTACACGTGGGACAGGAAGCAACGGTTAGAACTTGATATGGAACAACTGATTAGTTCAAAATTGGAAAATGAGTACGACAAGGCTGTACAGTAGTGCCAACCAGCCAGCTAGCCAGCCCGGGAGACATCAGGCGTCCTTGGGCGGTGGGCGAGCGAGGGCTTGGAGGCAGCCGCTGGGGGCGGGAAGGGGTGGGCCATCCACCCGGTGCTCACTCGCTCGCCAGCCAGCTAGCCAGCCCGGGAGACACCGGGTGTCCTTGGGGGGCGGGCGAGTGAGGGCTTGGGAGGAGGGCCGCCAGAACACCCCAGCCTTGCCCTGCCTCCCAGCTTTCCCGGCCCCATCACCTCCTGGCAAACAGAAGGGGAAAATATGGAGGCAGTGGCAGATTTTACTTTCTTGGGCTCCATGATCACTGCAGATGGTGACAGCAGCCACAAAATTAAAAGATCCCTGTTACTTGGGAGGAAAGCGATGACAAACCTTGACAACATCTTAAAAAGGAGAGACATCACCTTGCCAACAAAGATCCCCATAGTCAAAGCTATGGTTTTTCCAGTAGTGATGTATGAAAGTGAGAGCTGGACCATAAAGAAGGCTGACTGGCAAAGAATTGATGCTTTTGAATTGTGGTGCTGGAGGAGGCTCTTGAGAGTCCCTTGGACTGCAAAGAGAACCAACGTACCCATTCTAAAGGAAATCAACCCTGAGTGCTCACTGGGAGGACAGATCCTGAAGCTGAGGCTCCAATACTTTGGCCATCTCATGAGAAGAGAAGACTTCCTGGAAACGACCCTGATGTTGGGAAAATGTGAAGGCAAAAGGAGAAGGGGATGACAGAGGATGAGATGGTTGGACAGTGTCCAGGAGGCAGTGGAGGATAGGAGGGCCTGGCATGCTCTGGTCCATGGGGTCACGAAGAGTCGGACATGACTTAATGACTAAACAACAACAACCTCCACACAGTTTGGAAATTACTGCTTCAAACTATCATCCAGCAAAGCAAGATTTGCTAGAAACGACTTCTTACTTAAACAACATTTTTGGCCGTTTACTGGACCACAATTCCCATCAGCCCTAATTATAACCAGTGGCAGGAATGCTTGGAGATGCAGTCCAATCACATTTGGAGGGTTACATTTTGTCACTCTTCTTTTATAGCAATGTGTCCTTTTGAAAAAATTAGCGAAAAGATGACAGGAGGGAAATATTTTTAATGGTGCAAAGATACTCATTCTGAAATGCAGAAAGCTGTCAGAGGTTTACCTACCTGACGAGAAAAACCCTTCTCTGTACTTGCTTGACCAACTGTTATTTTCCTAAGGAATCTATCATTTGTGTCCACCACTGAAAGAGAAAAAGAGAGAGAGAGAGAGAATTTGTTTATAGTATGTTAGAAACTTCCCTTTAAGCTTAAACTCCCTAGAAACAGTCTCTACATTTCATAATATGAATGTAAGATATAATGTCTTGAGCTTAAAAATGTGAGTACACTTCATTCTAACAACTGTAATCCTAGGATCTTGGTAAGACTCTAGAAATTCAGCAGTGTCGTCAAAAGCAGCAGAACCTCGTGACGGTTCAGGTTTGCACCAAATTATCAGATGGGATTAGAGCAATGGTGATATCTATGTATCACAACGCTTTCTATCACAGATTTATTTGTTTATTTTGCACAGGCTAAGTATGAAACCAAACAAGAGATTGCTTCTGCAAGATCCAATAATGTGTTTGCAAGACATGAGCAGGACTGTTAATGACAGGACATTCTGAAGGTCACTCATTCACAAGGTCACCATAAGTCGAAGCGATGGTGCATTACAAGAAGATGTATCATTCTAGATTTTGCCCTGCAAAACTTGCCCTTGAATGCAAACAAACAAGATTTAAAATAAAACCAATCAGACAGACATTTCTAAAAAAGCCAACTTTGGTAACGACAGATTACACAGCTGTAATTGTAGTTCTTCAAGTGGACCTCTGCGATTCACACCCTAGGTGATTTGCACCTGCATGGAGCCTCACTGGAAGATTCTAGAGCTTCTACAGTAGCAATAAACACATTAGAATAAGCCCCTCCCCAGCTGTATAAGTACCTTGGCACCAAGTGTTCCCTTTCAGTTGTGTCAACCGCCACTTAATAGTAAGCAGAAATGGACGACAGAGGGGAGGATGGGTGGGATGTGTGAATCACAGAGGTCCACTTGAAGAACTACAATTACAGGTGGGTAATCTGTCGTTCTTCTTCGTGGCCTCTGTGAATCACACCCTGGGTGACTAAAAAGATGTCTCACCCGGAGGCAGGGTGTCACACCAAGGCACGTCCAAAGCCCGCATCAGACTTATGCCGGAGGTCAAGTCTATAATGATGGATAAACATGGATGGCTGTGCCCAAGTGGCAGGGGCACAGACATCCGGAAAAGGTACGCCACGGAGAAAGGCTGTAGAAGCCGCCACTGCCCTGGTGGAGTGAGGGTAAACTACTCTAGAGGCTGGTTGTCGAGCAAGTTAATAAGCCAAATGAATGCTTGAGGCGACCCATCTGAATATAGATTGGGAAGTCACCTGATGGCCTTTAGTAGGTAGTTGATGGTTTATGAAAAGGAGACTGTCAAAAAGGCTGAGTATGTTGGAGATAAAAAGCAAGAGCTCTTCTGACATCCAACGTATGGAGTATTTTTTCTTCGTCTGAAGAAGTTGATGGGAAAAACGAAGGAAGGACAATCAGCTGGGAGAGATGAAATTGAGAGACAACTTTGGGAAGGATGGAAAAGTCCATGAATAACTTCATCTTATTGGGGCGAAATTGTAGATAAGGGTAGTCATAGTGTAAGGCTGCCAAATCACTAGCTTTTTAAGCTGAGGTGAAGGCTACGAGAAAAGCTGTTTTAAAGGTGAGGAGTCTTAAGTCAGTTGTGGCTAAAGGCTCAAAAGGAGCTTTGGCAAGCTGTTTCAAAACAAGAGTTAGTGACCATTTTGGAGAGGGAGGTCGAGTATCGGGGTAGATATGAGAGAGACCTTTAAGAAAATGTTTCGTTGTTGGATGTTTGAAGACATTTGCTGCTGAAGAATTTGGAGGTTGGTATGATGTTATTGCCAAAAGGTAGACTCTCACGGATGAGATGGAGAGGCCCTTGGGTTTGAGATGTAGGAGGAAGCGGAGAATAATGGAAAGTGATGGATTGATGGAGGATAATGAGGAAGATTTAGTAAAAGATTGAAATTTCTTCCATTTATACAAGTAGGCTTTCTTGTGGATGGTTTTTGGCCTGATGAAGAACCTTCATTAGTGAGGGGGAATCCTCCACACTGCCAGGTGCAAAACAGGTAAGTCTGGGTGTAGGATTTGGGAATTGTTCTGTGTGAGAAGGTGTGGAAGGTGGTGGAGGTGGTGGATGTCTGATGAGAGATTGTGGAGAACTGGGAACCAAGTCCATCTCGGCCACCAAGGGGTTTTAACAATGGCATTGGTTTTCTCTTGTTGTAGACGTACAACAACTTTGTGGAGGAGAGGGAATGGCGGGAAAACGTAGGCAAGGGTCTTGGGCCAACAGCCGACAATCTCATCTCCCCGGGAATGCTTGCCTATCCCCGTTTGGGAGAGTATAGTTGGCATTTCCAATTCGTTTGGGAGGTGAAAAGATCAAGAGTCATGATCTTGGTCAGAGGAGCGTCAAACATGGTGTTTGGGCTTCCGGTCATTTCGCCTAGTGGGAGGCTGTTGCCAGGGTTTAGCTCTTTGGTTTTAGAAGTATGGAGTGTAAGAGGTTTGTCTTAGAGGATCTCACTGGAACTTCTGGTATGAATTATAAGGTCGTCTCCATTGATTTTGTTGAGGAGGTTGCTGGTAAGAAGGGCAGACTTCCCAACATCCAGCTGCTGAAAGTTTCTTTTGTACATTTTCTAGTATATTGTCAGTTTCAGCATGAAAGAGACTTGCTCCATCAAGGGTAGGTCTTCAATACATGCCGGAGCATCTTTGGTTAGGCCAGCTGTTCTGAGCCAGGAAAAACAGTGTAGGGTTACTGAGGTGGCCATGGACTTGGCTGTAGCATCTACGGTGTGGTGGGCGAAAAGCATCTGTTGTTTAGCCATGAAAAAACCTTCTTGTTGGAAGGTTTGAGCTAGTATCTTTTTATCCTCTGGTAGGGATTCAATAAAGGTGGACACATTGTCCCAGAGGAAGCATTGGTAAGCTCCCATGTCTCCTTGATAATTAGTGACTCGCATGGTGAAGGCTGTGGAAGAGTAAAGTCATCTATCCATAGAAACTATTCGTCAACTGTCTTTATTTGGTGGTAGGAGAAATTGTCGGTGTCAAGATCTCGATTATGAGGCTTCAACATACATAGAATTTGGAGCTGATCATTTCTGAAGGAAAATGTCTCCTGGGTCATGGATTCTATAGAGGTTATCAATCCATTTGGACATGGTATGGGAGGAAGCTGGCTTTGTCCAGGATCTCTGTGCAGTACTAAGGAGAGATGGCAACATCGATATGTGTATCAGAGTGGTTGTATTTTTAGAGATCAGATCATATAGGTGATCGGCTGGTCCTGTCAATGGTTGGTGGATCTGAAGATTGAGGGATTTAGCCATATGAATCATAAGTTGGGCATAAGTCTGGAAAGTACCTGCCGGAGGTAAGTAATACCGATGGAGTCTGCAGTAAAGATCCATGGTCAGAGCCTTCAAGGTTGCATCTGGAGTCGATGGACTGTCGATTGACTTTGATGTCGAGAGGCTGAGCTTTGTTGTATTACTGGTTATGAGCTGAAATAGATGAAGGTGGCGTGTCCATGGACATCTGTCGATGTTGAGGATCATCAACACTGAAAGGTGGTGCTTGAGAGTCCATGTACCTCATTTGGTAGGGATGGACCTCAGTGTTGAGCTCGGTGTCATAATGGTGCCGGGGTCGATGACTTGAATTTACTGGAGGATGGTAACTTTGTGGAGGTAACAGAATGGAACGTGTGTCCATGGATCAGGATGGATATTGAGGATCATTGATATCAGAGCCTGTGTTCTTGTGATGTAAAAATCGAGGTTGCTGATGTGATGCCATAGTAGTAGAATAAACTGATGCTGCCAATCCTGAACGTGAAGAGTGGTTTCCATCATCTAGTCTAGTAGGAAAGTATCAGGAGCCTGGGGCTACAAAAGCCTCACGTGCAGAAGAAAATTGCTCAACTGTTCTGGGCTTTTAAAAAATCAGGTGGGGAGCAGGTTGAGGTACAGCAACGTCTTGGTGATGCAGCCATTTCAACACCGATGGCTGTCAAGAGGTAGGCCGACTTCTAGATGGTATTATTGAACCGGGTAAAACACCTGGTCAACTAGTCAGTGCAATTTGTCAAACAGAGCACAGGTCGGGGCAAATGGCAACCCGATGCACGTGCTGAGCGTGGGTTTGAACAACACATGATGAAGCAAGCTGTTGAGATTGGTGATGTCAACGGTTCTGGTTAGGGATTGGTGGGCAATCCGAGGGTATCAAATATGGAATGGTGTTGAGCTGTTCAAGATGGGGATCATTGGGCGAGGCAATAACCGAAGGATTGCTGGAAGGAACATAAGGTTGTCGAATGGGAGGAGAGGATGTTAGACGGTCGACTCTATTGTCCCACTCCAGAGACTGGAACGAGAGTCTGCCATCATCTGAAGGAGAACCACCCAAAATTGATTCAGAGAGCTGTTGTGGTTGTGGTGGGATGGCTGGAGGCTTAGACTGTTTAGCTGTTTTCAGAGGAGCAGGCTCCGGAACCAAAGCAGTTTTAGTAGGTGTTTGATGTTTAGAAGTCGTTTTCGATGTTGAGGGTTTTGGTACTGCGGATTTTGATTTGTGTGTCTTCGAGGTCTTAGACGATGTAGATGGAGTATTGGACTGAGCTGCTATAGCCGATGGACATTGCTTTGATGATTCAACAACGGCTTTTTCCATTACTTTGGTTTGGGAAGTGGTCCTACAGGGAGGTTGGGCCACTTGAACTGGTTGTAAAGATTGTTCCCAAAGTCGGAGTTTAGCGTAGAGAGGCGAGACTGAAGAACTCTGCGCTTAAAATTTCTGCAACGGGTACAGGAAGGTACAGGAGCAAGTTTGATGTTCTTCTCCTGAACAGCGTGTCCGTTGGAAAGTGGGGATCTTATTATCGCAACCAACGGAGTGCTTAAACAGGCTCAAAGGGGCCATGAATTAGTAAGGAACGATAAAGAGAAAATGAATTGGATCAAGGGGGCAGCCAAAAGGCAGATAGTCTAAAGTAAAAATATTATGTATTCGCGAAGGATTCCTCTGAAGATGCCGGCCACAGAGACTGGCGAAAAGTTAGGAAGAACAACCTACAGAACACGGCCAAAGAGCCTGAAAAACCCACAACAACTATAAAAATATTATATTTGTTTAGCTGACAATTGTAGTAAAAGAAAATGGAATAAAAGGAATCAAGATAAAGCTCTTTTTGACTTTACCCACAGAAGGAGAATGGAAAAAGAATGAGAATGGAGAAAGAAATTCAAAGGGGATGCTGGGCGCCAAGGTACTTTATGGGTGGGGAGGGGCATATTCTAATGTGTTTATTGCTACCGCAGAAGCTCTAAAATCTTCTGATGAGGCTCTGCGCAGGTGTGACTCACCCACAGTGTGATTCACAGAGGCCACAAAGAAGAACAGAAAATTATACTGATGAACATAATAATAATTATGTGTCATCATTTCAATTCTGACTAATGGCAACTCCTTTCAAGATTTTCCAGGTAGAGAATACTCAGTTTTACCATTCCTTTCTTCTAGGGGCATCCTGAGAGTATGCAGCTTGCCCAAGGCCACACAGGCTAGCTATAACTATAGGAGCACAGTGGGGAATCAAAATCCCAAACTCTGGCTCCGCAGCCAGATACCTAAACCACTGAGCTATCCAGCCAACTATTATCAATCTACATTTCACTTTTAATATTCAATTAAGAACATTACATAAACATAAAAATAAGCCCCCAAAGAATTCAACACTAGGCATTGATAGTTCTTTCAAATCCTATCTCATACAAAAATATCAGCAAAATAATGTCTATTATGTTCCGTAGCCAGACACAAGAAATACTAGCAGTACTAGAATTTCAAGACTCTGGACCACTGTAAGCTAACAATATTAGGAACAAAAACAGGAAAACTAAAATGTAAAGTGCTTAGATTTTCAAAAAAACAAATAGGTCTTCTTATCTGAATCTGAAAAGACACAGCTAGAGTTCCATCACTATTTAAAATTCAGGAATTCAAGAAAACTTTTAAACAAGACATTGTGCAACATCTGTCAAAAAAACAAAGTTCAAACAAGCTACAATACCTCCAACCATATTACCAGATAATTTCTTTAAATCCTCAGTCTTCATGAATATATACAAATGTCTTTGATAGTTTTACATACATGTGTTCATTCTGCATGATGCGGAGGTGGAATGTTTGTTGCAATTGAAAAGATAATGTTCTGTGGCATGTGTGAATGTGTGTGTGTGTGCGCGCGCACACACACACACACATGCACATATTCCAAGCTGCCGATTTATAGATGGAATTATCATACTGTAGACAAGAGAATTATGTTTTGGAAATATGTGCCTGTATAAGTAATCTAGCTCTGGCTTTACATATATGGCTTGGATTTAAGCTGCCTAATGTTTCCTTATGTACTAGTTGGAACCCTTTTCAGACATTCAGCACATATTTATTGATCAGGTGGGAGGATTGTGAGATTCCATCTATTGAGAAATCACTCGACAGCTGCACATTTGGTAGCTAAAAAGAAGCCTACTTGCATCAAGATATATGCATGTGGCATGTGGGCAGCTTCCACATAAACACATACCATGGTAATGGTACCCTCCTTCTCCTCTAAATGCATGTCTGACAGTGGGTACCGAAAAGGGGTATCATAGCCAGCAGGTGTAATCTTACTTCACCCTCACAAGTGAGAATATGGCATTTTCAAAACTTTTCTCCCTGCTAGGCAAGATTTCAAGAGTTTTGTGCATGTTTTGCATCTTGTGACTTTTTTGGAATATAAATATAAATATAAAAAGACACACACCTATTGCAGGAAAAAAAAACATATATATAAAAAGTGTTTTAAGCAAAAAGTTATTCTGGATGGAAACATTGCATTTTGCACACAAGCTATTGTATTCTGAGAAAATACAGGTTATTTAGAGTAAATGCAATGTTTTCCGCAAAAATACGATTGTGCAAATTGCAAATGTTTTTCCTGATTCCACTTCTGACAGAAAAAGGTGTAAGTTTTTTTTCCTCATACATCAGTGAAAAATCTCTGATGAAGTGATGGCTCGGTCTGAGAAAATCTACAAATTTTGGCTCGGCTTTAAAAGCAAATACAACCACTGTTGTGGCTTCCACCCCCTCGTCATATGGCATGAGTGAGAGGACAAGTGCTGATAGGGTAGAAACCAGGTAAATAGAACTGCTGAACCAGCCATAGGATTTATTATGGCAGATACATATGCATATGTTTGGTCAGCAAACTCAGGAGAGGTGGCCTCAAAAACAATCAACAGGAACCTGCTTTCATAGCAAGATGCCTGAACCTACCTCTCAAAACAACCCAAAGAACCCAAAATCAGGAATCTCTGGCTTTCCTCCACAGTCCATCACAATTTTCCATGTCAATTAAGGCTGGAAGTTCAATTTTCCCCATTTCAGACCTAAGTATTCTGACAGGTATGTATTCAAGAAAATTACTTTTACGGCCCTTTCTATATACCAAAGTAGGCTCTTAAAGTTTTTTTTAAACTGTCCAAACAGGACAGATTCTGTTTTTAAACAAGAGGAATTTTTTTGCTATGCAGAAAGACCAGAGTTTAATTTCTATTATGTGCTCCTTGTACTCACCAGGAGTTATGTATTCCAGTGCATCATGGTTAAGAAATTATACTGTCCCAAGATTTCTTGATAATAATAGCTATCAAAGTACGAGATTATTACTTTTAAAAGCTACTCTTCACTCTCTGGTTGTGGGTCTTGCACTGGGTGGCCACTGTGGGACACAGCACTCTTGACTAGATAGACCTTCAGTCTGACCTAGCATACTCCACCTACCTCTTTGCCACGTAATTGTAGCTGGATCTATGTCAAGTCGGACAAATCTGCTAACCTCATCTTCTGTCAATGTTTTAGGATCCGTTTTGGTTATTCCCAGCCTCTAGAAAAAAAAAGCAAATAGAAGCAAAGGGACAAATGAAGATTGTTGCTTGGAAAGCCACAGAAACATAATCATGGCTCAATTATAAAACCCCTCAGAGTACCTACAGCCCAGATTTCCCCAAGCTGTTACTCTCCAGCATACTGGCACAAGAGAGAGATACACTCAGATCAGGCAGCAGCCAATGGTCAAGATGTCTGGGTTAGAGGGACTTGTAATCCAACACATCTGGGTGTGGACAATAGATTGGACAACTGTAAGGGCTACTGAAGAGGACACACTATTGTTGCCTCTGGCTTTTAGCATACTGGCACAAGAGAGAGATACACTCAGATATGTGATTTCCAACAGTGACATCCTTTTTCTTTCTTTCCGCATACATCCCTTGAAAACAAAACATGGCAGAATTTCTGTCAGCAGCAAATGGGAGCTGACCTTTCACCTTCACAAAGATCCAAAGTGGGTGGGTGGGAGATTCTAGGAATTGGGCCAGTCCAAATTTCTCTCGTGGCTCTTTTAGCAGTAATGGTGGGTTCGGCCTGTGTTTGTTCCTGAAACCATTATGAGAGGGATGCAAATAATGCTCACAAGACATGTAGAAACAGTGCCGAATTTTTCCCCCATTGCTTTATCAGCAGGTGCAATTGTGGAGTGTTAATTCTATTGACTTAAAGGAAATGTGTGCAGCTTAGTTTCCTTCTGTCAACACAAGGTGCTCTATCTAGCAAGATTATGGACCATCCTTACAGCCTGTGATCGCTCAGAACAGAGTGATAGTCTCCCCAGTGTCTTTTGGTCTCCTGAATCTCCTGAATCCCTGGAGCCATTAAGTAAGTGCACTCCTTAAGACAGGTAGTAGAGATTACTCTCTTGCCATAGAAAGGATTCTGAATGAATAAGTTTTTTATTGAAATACTTGATATCCTAGTTAAACTGATTTATTTTCCATTGTAACAGTCCTTCATCAGAACCAAATATTTAATTTAAAATAACTACTTAAAGAGAGACACAGAATGAAAGGAATAGATAAAATAAGAATACAAGTATGGGGGAGGGGAGGCCCAGAAAAGAGACTTGGGCTGTGAGACTCCATTCTAAGATGTGATTTGCTCAGCTCCTCCATGGGGGGGGGACCCCAAAGCTGTCACTTTGTCTGCTATTCCCTACAAGGGCACCAGAAACACTTTCTAGGTACATAGTTAACTGGGAGCCCTGTACAATACAGAGGAGGGCCCACACTATCCTACACTCACTTTACACCATGGGGTGGACAGGCCTGACAATGGTTCCAGCAGTGGTTTGCAGTAATACTGTACTGTATGTGTATTCTGGAGCTCACACAGGGCACCTCATATCTTTTCAGGCAGCAACCTCAGCTTGCCTTCCCTGATAAGATACTTGATGATAGAGAGTGGGTTTCTGGTGTTTCTCTGGGACCCCTTGCTCCTCTGCCTTGCAGCCCCAATAGCTGCTCTGTTCCAGAGTTCCTAACCCTGCCAGGTGGGAGTTAAGATATCTGGGCTTCCCTTACTTTGTTCTCCATTGTTGACCTTGGGATCCAAAGCCTGGCACCTTTTGGTGGGCCAGCCACAGAACAAGGTGCCTCAGGGCTTCCTAACACCACTCTCTGTCCATGCCCTCTCTTCCTTTCCAATTTCAAGCCACTACTGCCACTTTTAGCTTCTTCTGACCCCCTCAGGCCAGCCAGGTCTCCAGCATCATCACACTGCTGCATGACTTATGTTTGTGACTCCTCATGACCACACTGCACATAGTTGCTGTGATGGCTGGTAGCCAGTTAAGTTCTCTTCAGTTGTACTCATGTTGCCAAAAGCAGTGGTTTCCAGCACGCTGCTACACAAGACCACATGGTTTCCAGCCCAAATCCTCTGAGCCCGATTTCTTTCAAAATTCTAGCTAAAGATGTTCCTTTCAGAAATGAAAATCCCACACAATAAAAATGAATGCACTTTGGAGCTACTCAACCTGATCAGGAATTCTGGAAAACTCAAAGGCACTGTGGAATTTTACTTGGTTCTTAAAAAGTGCTGAACATCTGTGGATTTTGAAATTTGTTTTGTTTTCATGGACCAACACAGTTTTCTGGCTTTCTATTTTCTTTGTAAAATGCCTGATCCAGTCACTCAAGGCAGAATATGATACCCAAAGAGTCATGCCACCTGCAGTGAGGGTTCTGTCCCCTCTATCCACCAGGAAGTACTGTATTTATTACTTGTGATCAATAATACAGGTTCCCCCTGCCTGAGGCATATTTTCAAACCCAATATTTATGTAAGCACTCTGTTGTTTATTATTTTGCTCTGTATAATTCTCAGGAACATGTGTTTATACCTAAAGTGCAGGAGTGAAAAGTGTAGTCCATGGGCTTCAAACATCCCTTGGGGAGCATTCTGTGGCCCCCTCAAGAGTCCACAAGAGCCCCTCATTTTAAAAATAAAACAACACCAAAATGTCCTCATCCCAGAGGTCTCCAGGGACAATAGTTTTCACTTCTTGGTGTGCCCCTAAGGCCCCCCTGTTCCTTAAAATAAATTTATGCTTTATTTTTCTTTTCAAAATGGCAGGGAATGCTGATTTTTCATGCTCCATGAGCCTCCACAGAGGGAGCTGAGGGCTTAAACATAGTTCCCAAGCCTTATGAGCTTGCCCACTCCTTACCTTAAGCTAGAAAAAAAATTCTGGAATACATTCAACCTTGTGTTTCCAGAAATGCTGACTTATAACCTATTCTCCATTTTAGTATCTATTGTTAGGTGTAATTTGATACTGGCATACGTATAAGTAATCTTCTCATCTCCATGTTGGCACTGAGCTACAGACCTCATGACTCCAAGCCTCATGGCTACAAGTGGCACAATTTTTGCATTTCTGTGCTTCTTTCCAACACCACTGTTTTGCAGGGGGCATCTAGACTGATGACGATTTCTAGAGAGGCTGAATACTTGAACACTCCTTTGGAATTTTACTTGGTCCTAATAAAAATACTGTCTTCCTGTGAATTATTCACTTTGGCTCTACATGAAACTAATGAAGGAGATATAGAACAAGTTGGAGAAATGGAATAAATTACAACTATCGTTGCTGGGAAGAAGTTGGAGAAATGGAACAAATTACAAGAATTGCGACGATCAAAATGAACATCTTGCCAAAAATATTATTTCTATTCCAGTCAATCCCTATTATATTAAAACAGTATTTTTTCAAAGAATTTAATAAGATAATCATGAGATTTATATGGCAAGGCAAAAAACCAAGAATTAAAGTTAAGGTAATGCAAGATGCTAAGCAGAGGGGTGGCTTTGGTCTTCCAGATTGGGTTCTGTATTACAGAGCTTGTATTTTAGATTGGATAAAAGAATGGATAACTCTAGAAAACAATAGACTACTCAACTTGGAAGGACACGATTTGCAATTGGGTTGGCATGCTTATTTATTGTATAAAAAGGATAAAGAACAAAAATCTTTTAATTCGCATATGATAAGAAGAGCTTTACTGGGAACGTGGAGAAACATTATACAACAAATGTATCATAAAATACCTGTATGGGTATCACTGATAGAGGCCTTTACCCAACCTAATCTTATGACAAAAGCTAATCTTTTAAGATATCAAGATGTATTAAAAAAGGATGGTGAACTAAAATCTAAAGGAGAGCTAGATTCACAGAATGTTCACATAGATTGGTGGTCTAGAGCACAACTAGAATCTAGATACACAAAAGATAAAATAGAAGGTTTCTACTCAGAGCAAATGATTTTTGACAAACTCTTGCTAGGTCCAAAAGAACAAATGGTTAAGAAAATGTATAATTATATGCTGGAAATTAAAATGCAAGATGAAATGGTTAAGGAATCTATGATTAAGTGGGCACAAAATACAGAGCATAATATTGATATTGATCAATGGCTGAAAATATGGCAAAATAATATAAAGCTTACAAGATTGGTGACCTTTAAAGAGAATATATATAAGATGTTTTATAGGTGACACATGACCCCAGAAAAATTGTCAAAGATGTATACAGATGTGTCAAATAAGTGTTGGAAATGTGAAGCACAAGTGGGATGCTATTATCATATGTGGAGGTCATGTGGAGTATTGGAAAAGGGTACATGTTATGTTGCAACAAATATTGCTCTGTAAGGTACCATTAACCCCAGAACTGTTTTTATTGAGTATGATACCTGATGATATAGATAAGTCAAAGGAAAACATAGTTATATATATTGTAATGGCAGCCAGAATCCTATATGCTAAAATTGGAACCCAACAGTACCGAAACAAGAAGAGCTTATTGAAAAGATACGGGAAGTAGCTGAAATGGATATTCCATCAGAAGTTATGAAGGACTATCCCTTGTAAAAGGCAACAGAAAAATGGGATCTATTCAACAAGTGGACTGTATCAAAATGCAGTATGTGAATAGCATATATTGAAATGAGAACTTAATCTAGAAGGCAGAAAAGAGTAAACAGAATAATTTTAAAAATTTGATATGGCAATAGGTATAGAATGGATATTAGCATGCTATTGTCTCCCCTCTTCCTCATTAATCCCAATCCCCTTTTTCCTTTCTGTCATCCCTTATGTTAAAAAAATAAAAAAATTCTGGAAAAAAAATTATTCATTTTGGCTCATTCCCCCGCTCCATCCTTTCCTATACATCCAAACCGTAAACCAGTGGGAAGAAACTAGGCAGAGAAAATTACCACCACTAAATGACTAAACAGCTGGCTGTTCAGAACTTTATTACCAATTATCAGCTCCTCTTTTCCCCCAGACACTCAGCAAACATAAAAACATTTTCTAACAGTTTTCCCTATTGCATTCTCCATGCAAACCTTTCTAAGATCTACTTCACAGCACAGACAAACAGGAATACACTTTGTTTTGCTTTTTAATATGTTTAAATTATTAGATTTTTAGGACAGAGGCATAAAAATAAAAGGCACTGGACTCCATATATACTCTATAGCTACCCATTGCCACCCAGTGGTTATCAAATACACTAGCTGGCATAATAAATTAAACCCTGACTTTATAGCCATCTGTAGATATCAGACTAAACTGTAGTAATGTTAAGGAACTAGACTGAAGTACAGTCTGAACTGAACTGTAAAGTATTCACTCCCTGCTCTTCCTAGGCTGTGACAGCAAGAAGCTTGGAATTGCTTACTTCCCTCTTTACACACCTGTCACCTGGTAGTGACTTGTGGACGAAGTTGCAGGGGACAGGCTGACCTCTAAATTTCACACAAACACATAGACCTTGTCATGCGCTACCAAAGCCCACCATATCTTTCAAACTAAGCAAATGTAGTTGGTGTTAACTAGCTCTGGCTTCAAAAGCATTCAGTTTTACCCATAAGCAACAACATGCTTATTATTATATATTCTTAGACTCCAAATTCAATCCCCATTCTTCCAAGGTATATGCCTACCCATGTACTGGGCAACGCATAACAATTCTTTGTGGAAGATTCTGTGCAAGTGTAAAAGTATATGAAATAGCAAATGTGGGTTACGATCAATAAATCTTCCAGTGGGACATTTAACATCTCAGGCTGACAACATGTGGTTTCATGAACCTTACAACATAAAATTTTCAATCTGTTATAGTCATTATGAACAAAAATCTGCCATACCTACAGCAAAAATCGACTGGATTTGTCCCAGATTACCTGATTTGTCTCTGTCAATGGCATGAATTATTTTGCTTTCTGCAGATTCGTGAACAACATATCCTTGAACAATTCAAGCACAGTAATAGTTTAGCTCTTCCAGGCCATAGAGAGGATGAAAAGTGTGGGGAGATCCCCAGGGAACTTGACTACCTCCACCCACTTTCCCACCCCATGCCAAACCTGACAGAGTCACAATGTGCACCAACTTGTTTATTTGAAGGAATGAATACAAATTCTAATGTACAACCATGTGTATGTTTATTCAGAAGTAAAGCCTTGCAAGTAGGGATGCACTGGATTTCAGAACAAGGCTGTCACACTTTCTATAAGCTCTAAACATCTGCTGAAAAAGTGTGATGAAATTAAAATGTGCAAGTAGGGTGACCTGATACTGCAGATCATGAGCCCAACCCTGCTCTTTGCTCTGTCAGATCTTTTTGGTCTAGCAGTAGGGATGCTGGTTTTTTGGAGCGGGCTGGTACAATCAGGACTGGTGGAAGGGTCCTTTTAAAGACTGCACCTTGGAAATGACACTTTCTATCATGATCCAAAGATATCTTCATGTCAGTCACTATCTGATTATATACATACTGTTCTCCTTTAAATGCCACACAGTTGTTGTACTGCAGACATCTCTCTGTGAACCTGATTTTTTTTGGTGGTGGTAGGGCTGTCTGTCCTGTATTAATTTTTTTTTTAAAAAAAATACTCACTGAAAGTGGAAACATCTTAAACCCTAATGAATGTGACTTTTTGAAAATCAGTGACTTCTAAAAGAATCTCTAAAGAATCTATAAGCCCTCTATAAAGTGGAAGGTTTAACAGCTACTTACCTTCAGGCGTGCAAGCTGTATGTTTGAAAATTTCCTTTCACCCTGAACTAATGGAACCAATCTATTATATAAAGCCTGTAAGGAACATACAAGGAAAATCATTAACAAAAGTACGAAAACTCATCAAGGATAATGATGGTGAAAATCCTGCATGTGTAAGTTCTGCAGTGTAAGGTTGATGACATCATCTGCCAGAGCAATTTTGGGGAAAATCAAACATTTCTTTCCCCCATCCCAAGTTGCTGACTAATCCCCTTCCTCATCAGGAACCCATGGGGGCTTAGGGGTAGAAAAGTGAAGTCTTTAATTGCTAGTATGGCAGCAGCAATTTTCAGTACTTAACTACTCCCCTCTCCTGTCCTGTCCTGCCCATGTGATACAGATGAGGAAAGGGATTCCTTAGGACCCATGGGGCCCTTGTCGTGTGCAGAGAAGGGCAGGGGGAGAAAAGGTTTGATTTCCCAAATGTTGGTCCAGTGGAGGATGCCATCAGCCTTCTGCCGAGGAACTTAACACAACCAGGATTTCAGCCAATTTCTGTTAATAAATGATGTGAAGTCTTTGTTTGTGTGCTCTGACATTATTCTAGAATTGCTGCTGTTCATGATAATCTCCAGGCATTCTCAATATTTAAAAGTGATATAAAACTGCTATAAAATGATAAGGCATTTGTGCAGCTGATATAACATGGCTTGTGCTTGTGGGCAGGGAGTAAGTGTTTGTGTATTGAAAAGAACTCCTGGATAGAGAGTTTATATATATATATAGCAACTGGATTCTTATCACTATTGACTGAGCACCCAGTGTTGGAGTGGAGGGCAAGAATGAATCCCCGCATCAGCAGGAAGGTGTCTTAGAAATGAAGCAAACAAATAATAAATAAGAATTGCCTTGACAGTAACAGCGTCCGCAAACAAGCACTTGAATGCACAAGGGATGCATACATACACATTAATTATGATGGAGAAACAAAGATATATTCTTGGTAAAACCAATGGGGAGAGTCTAAACCTACTCCTTGCCTCCAGTAGCCTTGAGAGTCCAGCACTAACAATCACACTACTCTGCTTTATAATTGATGCAAAGTTTCGTTTCTTGGCCATTCTGAGCATGTCAAAACACTGGATAGTGTCCTTTAATTATGAAAATGAACAGTTGAGAGTGGAATTCTTCAAATTCATCAATACTTATAGCAACATAAACGTATTTATCAAAACACATTCACAATGATGACATGGTCAATAATGAAGTCTTTGAAATACTTTCAACTACTTCATTTTTGAAACCCCTGGTCTAAATCCAATATCATCTTAGCTTGGTGAAAATCCCCACTAACATATATTCAACGAATTACACTTGGAAGCAGTTTCACAAGAGGCTGTACAACCATGTACACATTCTGTTGTGCAACTCTTGGGTTTGATCTTGGAAAAAAACGCCCTCAACTTTACTGGGACTACTGTACCTTGTGCTGACTTTGATAAGGAATGCACGTCTAGTCTGGTGGGTCTTGTGCTAATACAGTGACATTGCTGGATGCAAGCCAATACACTCACAGTAGTATTAGTAGAAAATTCATAGCGGAAATGATGAAAGGTTGCCCTTACCTTATCAGACTGAGTGTTCTCATGTAAAATCCTAGCATCTATGGCAGCAGCCAGCAAGTTATTTGCCGCAGTAATGGCATGAATGTCACCAGTGAGGTGAAGGTTGAACTACGGATGAACGACAAATAAGAAAGCATTCATTTTCCACACACCCATTACATTAGCAGTTGAAAACCAGCGATCCTCTTTCACTTGTGGGATTAACAGCTTTTAAAGTGTTGTGGAAATAATATTAAATTATCATCATTATCATTATGGCTGAAATTATTTAATAGAAGATAAATGGTCTTAGCTCACGGTGCAATTCCTTAGAGCCAACATGACCTAAGTACAGATGCATTAGAATACATTGGAAAGGGGGGGGAGGCATTTCTCAGGATGTGTGCACCTGTGGTTTAATTCATATGGGTGTAATTTAGTAGGCTCGCATTTTGGTTAATTTAACATATCTTCCTAATGGCACAGATCTAAACATCCATCATGAATTATGTAATAGAATTAATATATTGAAAGGCTGGCCCTCCCATTACACAGAGTGAAAGCACTGCCTCACACTATAGTCTCTGGTATCTGCTGGGCAGATGTGATAGCCTTGTTGGTTGTTCCTGCTGAAGATTCTGGGCTATTCCCCTCTGCCAGTTACAGAACTGTGTGTACCACATGACCTGACCTGCACTCTCTAAACAAGGCTACTGCCCTCAAATATCCTGCAGACTGCAAGGTCTACTGCTAATTTTGAAATAAGATTCAGATGCCAGTCAGATCCGATTCTGTACACAGAATGAGGGGCACTATCTTGCACTGCAATTCAGGCAGCATAATATCCTGGGCAATTGTAATAGAAATACTTGATAGATTTATGCTAAGCAATCAGGCAAGAGATTTCAGAGTGCTGCCCTCTGAAGATGCCAGCCACAGAGACTGGCAAAACGTTAGGAAGAACAACCCTCAGAACACGGCCAAAGAGCCCGAAAAACCCACAACAACCATTAGATCCCGGCCGTGAAAGCCTTCGTGAATACAGAGATTTCAGAGTAATGCATGCTTGTCCCTGTATATTTATGTGATATCAGCAGAGAGAGAGAGAGAGATTCAATGGTCCATTTTTAATGCTTTTAGATAAAGATTTCTTCACCTCTTCCATTGGTATAACTTGAGCATATCCGCCCCCAGCCGCTCCACCTAGGCAACAAAACAAAGGTTCATATTACATGAGGAAATAAAAGAAAAGAAAACTGTAGGGAAGCCTGAGAAATAATTAAGAAATTACTAAAATATGCATCAGGAAATTGGAGTGTTAATTTTGATTCTCTAATGAAATCACTAAAAAATGTAGAAATACCAGCAGTTAAAAAGATGTGTGTTTACACAGACGAATGCTATCACCAGCCAGTCTTTTGAAAAGAATAGAAATTTTAATGGCCATCAGCATGGAAGAATAATTTCAGTGCCAAATTTGAACTTGGATTACTGGAATCCCAATCTCCTGTCATTTTGGGAAGCCCTTTAAGAAAATGATTCTCTCTCAGACATCGCTCAGGATCACTGGAGTTTCCTTTAGTACATTAAATCACCCTCAAGATGATGTGATATGTAAAGAATGCGCACCTTTAACACCAAACGTTGGTCCTTGAGAAGGCTGTCGCAGGCAGGCAAAGGAATTTACTTTAAGGTGGGCTGTTAGTGCTTGGACCAAGCCAATAGTCACCGTGCTCTTCCCTTCCCCAAGAGGGGTTGGTGTAATCCTAAAATAATATAGGAAGATAAAATACATTCCACCAATTAGGTTTTGTCTAACTAGGAATATGAAAACCATTAATTCAAGCCAAACCAAAATGAAATGTACAGCTAATTTCAACACAATGTTGTTATTACAAAAGTAGCAATGCAAACACATTCACATACACTGCATTTGCACTGACAATACCAATACTGTATCTCCTTGAGGAACGGACTTAGCAAAGGAAAATAATCAGTAGTTTTGGCAGCTGCTCGGAAGACTTGGAACATGTACTGAATTCAGGATAGATTTACATTAAGACAAAGCCTTCTCCAACTTTCTTGAAAACTCATTTTTCAAAATTTAAATGACACATAATGAATGGTTTTATCTAACATGCCCTGGGAACCATTATCTCCTAATCACTCCAAGCATGCATGGGAAAAATATGTTTTCTATAAAACCACCATGCTTCTCTTGGTAAAGCAATTGTATTTTTTAAACTTACAACTACTCTGCTTTTGCAAGGTTTTATTCACACATCCCAGAAGCCATTGAACAGCTGTAATAGTAGAATGTAACTGCAGTTACACAGAGATACCTTCAAAATAGAATTGGACAACTTCTGTTCCGACTGCAACTCCCATCGTTCCCTACCATTAGCTATGCTCACTAAGGTTAACAAGAGTTACAGTCTAGCAACATTTGAAGGAACAAAAGTTACCTTCTCCTGTTTAGAAGCAAGCCGGGAGGGGGGGAATCCTAGCACTATTTGATTTATGTGACAGTTCCCATCCTGAACAAGTAATTATCAATTTAATTAAGGCTGAAGCACTAAAATCTATGGCCACTATTCCTTCTGATCTCATTAGATCATAAAGGATGGAGAGATTGGGAATTTCATTGTTTGAATCTCATCCTAACAAAGGCATCTTTTGTCTAGATGAAGAAAGGAAGCAGCTTCTTCCCATGAAACAAGAGCTGCTCCAGTTTCTGAAATAGAGATCTACCACTTCAAGCAACAGTAGTACTTGAACCAGTACATGGATACTTGGGTAAACAGCACTTCTACCTTTTTCCAATTAAATAAAGGGGAGCAGTGTGGTCCATACAAAATAAAATACAAATATAAGAATAGGCGATACCTTTACAGACCACTAAAAATAATACAATGAGTGAGCTTTCGTGGATCAAACACCACTTTCTCAGGCTTATACCAGTGTGAAGAATTTAACAGTCCAAAAGTTCATAGCAACATGGATTTTGCAAGGAAAGCTCCTCTTAGAGGTAAATTCCCAAAGTTCTTGGCAAGATGGATTTCACCAGGCATGTCTTTCTTCAATGTAAATCAGGAGAGGTGCAGGAAGCAGTGGTTAATGTTTTAAGGTTACAGGTGAGGAAGCTGTGAATTGGATGTCACATCCCAATTCTTCAAACAAAGAAGCACAGGCCTTTCTTTGAAACAGGCATGTTTCATCATGGCCAGGGAGTAGGGGTGACACAGAAAACCTGAGTTCCCTATCTTGGAATTGGGGGGATAATTTAATAAACTCACTAGGTTTAGCTGATTGTGATTAGGTTAAGGTCAAAATAATATCATCTAGTGGTTGCACTTTTGCTCCACTGATGTTGAGAGTCCATGTGTCTCCTTGTTGATATGGGGTGGGGTACTATTTCTTGGTATACTTATAATTCAGTTGAAATAAAGGGGAGCTGTGTGGTCCATACAAAATAAAATACAAATAAAAGAATAGGCAATATCTTTACAGACCACTGTAAGTTCTTCACAGTGGTACAAGCCCAATGAAGTGGTGTTTAATCCACAAAAGCTTGCTTATTGTACGATGAAATGAATAAAACCATCATGGTAATCAAAAAGTAGTTTCTACACATTCACTCGTAAGGCAAGTAAAATCAACTACAAGCATCTTAAAGCCATTTAAAAGCACTGCTTGAAGAGATGTGGCTTCAACCTTTTCCTCAAAGCAGTAAGAAAGTAATGGCAAAAGGGAATGCAACGGTGAGGTCTGCGATCTTATAGAAAGAAATTGAAGCATAATAATCCTCTATCTTACAGAGGACAAATCTGTTGTCCTTCTTCACCAATATGCCCAGTACTGTCCCTCAAGTACTGTTCAAGTTGTCTCCCAATAGCCTACATCACATCATTCTTGATACACATGGCCCCAGGATATATTATTCTTGCTAACAGATGCAAATGATTTGTATCAGGTATCAACGGAAGCTGCCCTAAAGCTTGAGAAAGCAGTAATAATAATTGTGAGCCGAGTCAATGACTTATGGTGACCTTTTCCAAGGTTGCCAGGTAGAAGATACTCAGAAGCGGTTTACCCTGCCTTCTTCTAGGACCTTCGTGGAACTGTCCAGCTTGACTAAGACCACACAGGCTGGCTCTTCCCCTGGGAGGCACAGTGGGAAACTGAACTCCCAGGTTCTGAAGCCAAACACTTCAAATGAGCTATAAGAAGCCAGCATCCTCTGTAAAATGTTTAAACTGTGGTAAGAGTTTCTTCCATTTTCCTAATCATCAATGCTTTCTTGATTTCTATTCTGACTTTAAAAGAGCAATATGACCTTCCATCAAAAAATTAAAGTATGATGCATGATTATGCATTTATCTCCTGAGTTCCAAAGAACTTGAACAGTTCTTTTGGGGAATCTCTTTCATCAGCCATAGAAAATTCAAATTAAACAGAACAAAACAAAAAGACTGTTTTCATTCACAGCACTCCCACTCGATGTCTGATGAAAACCCTTGCCAAGATAGGCTACGCAACTGTTTAAATCTGTGATACTTTAGTACGTGCAGAGAAATAAGTAGTTTATTTAACATATTTGACATTAAGGATTACATTTTCATTCCCAGGGATATATATACAAGCATTCATGCATATGCTAGCCAAAAGGAGTACCTCCTATAAGCATGATCTGCTGAGGACTCTAGCTAGAAATCTCTCTCTTAATTAGAAACATATTTTCCTTAACTTTAGAAACTATGCAAAAGGTCCAGCTGTCCTTTATACACTACACCCACTTCTGGTGAGGGATATAATCTGAAATAGTTGGATAACAGATTGCTATCTTTAAAAAAAAAAACCTAAGCATTTTTGCCCTACAGTTCTTACAAAGCGACGCGACATTCCTCGTCTCTCTTACATCAGCTGTCAAAGCAGCAGAACACAAATTCCCAAAGATGTAAAGCTCACAATTATAATTAAGGACCCTAGGAGGGCTGACCAACAGTCTTCCTCCAACAATCCAGAATTTTATTTTTCAAAAACATGTCGCTGAGCTAGATCCAATATTGTTTATACTGTACAGTTATCCTGGGACTCCCCCTTTGCACTCTGCTGTCATGTCGAGACCCTGTTCTGGCACGTTTCCCTATGAACATGGGACTGGCTCTGTTTTCTGCTGTCAATGAATTCTTTTCATTGTTAGAAACCAAGCATGCAAATGTTAAAATGGACTTGTTAAAGGAAGATCACTCCATGCATGTGCACTGTAGACAGGACATTCCCCCCCTCCACTTTTCTAGAAACTAAAGTACTGCAGCAACAAACAGCTAAGCATGGGCAAAAATGATAATTTGACTGCTTAGTCAACATGCTGACTGTGCAGGTTCAGAAAAGGCAAACCAGTTGTTGCCCATCTTGACCTGCTCTACAAAATTTTAAAGTTTCCTGAACTGAAATATGGGCATGGTAAGTACTTAAAAACGAACTAATGTATTAGATTTGACTTCCAAAACAATTTATTTTGCATTTTGGTAGTATCATTAATTCTTGGCTTTGTGCCAACATGGGCTTTTACCTACTAATCTCTATTTGCTCTTTACAGAAAAAAAAAATCATAATTGCAGTTTATTATAACTATGCAGTAAAAAAAGAATTTCCAGAGTTATGGACATTCCCTCTTTCCACCAGGAAACTGGTGACTTTGTGGCCTTGCTGGCTAGAGAAGGATATAAATGTAGTCTAGAACAATATCTTTCTTAAGCTCGTTCTTAGAAAGCATTCGGGACATTTAAGACCCATTCATTTAAATAAGGATAAATAAAGCTATAGGGCCCTGGGACCAGTTTGCCATTGAACCCTGATGAAAAGAGTGGGGGGGAGGGGTAGAAGCTTGAAATCCACTTCAGTTTTTTTGTTAAAATGCTATTTTAAAGATGGCCATAATAACCAGGCAGTACTGGAATCTGTACAGCAAAAACAAATCAAACCCCTTAGACTCTCTGTACCACCAGTACAAGACATAGCCTAAATTGAAATGTTGACCATATACAGCTATCTAACAGAGCGTTGTTATTTCATACTTATTTAAAAAAAAAACCTGTGTTCCCCAGGTGGCTTACAATAATCAACAACACAGGATAATACAACCATACAAAAACATTAAAATATTAAAACATAATGAGATCACAGAGAACAAATAGTAGCACACAAATAAATAGAAAACAAGCTCTCACAAAAATGTTAGCTACTCTGGCATGTTTGAGCAGTAACTTCATGTTACATGTAAAATGTGTTACTGGATCAGAACAGCTTCTCTCCCTTGGAAAGGAAAA